TATCGCTTGTGAGTGTCTGTGGCCAAGTAATACTTGTGTGTGTCTGTGACCAGGTATCACATGTGAGTGTCTGTGGACAGGTATAACTTGCGTGAGTCTGGGACCAGGTATTACTTGTGTGAGTCTGAGGCCAGATATTGCTTATGTGAGTTTGTGGCTAGATATCACTTGTGTGAGTCTGTGGTCAGGTATCACTTGCGTGAGTCTGTGGCCAGGTTTCACTTGCGTGATTCTGTGGCTATGTATCACTTGCGTGAATCTGTGACCACGTAACACTTGCGTGAGTCTGTGGCCAGGAATCACTGATGAGTGTCCGTGGCCAGGTATCATTTATGAGTGTCTGTGGTCAGGTATCACTTTTGAGTTTCTGTGGTCAGGTATTACTTGTGTGTGTCTGTAGCCAGGTATAACTTATAAGTGACTGTGGCAAGGTATCACTTGTGAGTGTCTGTTGCCCTGTATCACTTACGAGAGTCTGTAGCCAGGTATCACTTGTGAGTGTCTGTGGCCAGGTATCAATTATGAGTGTCTGCGGCAAGGTATCACTTATGAGTGTCTGTGATCAGGTATCACTTGTGGGTGTCTTAGGCTAAGAATCACTCGTGTGTGTCTGTGCCTAGGTATCACTTGTGGGTGTCTGTTGCCAAGTATTACTTGTGGGTATCTGTGGCCAGGTATCACTTGCGTGAGTCCGTGGCCAGGTATTACTTGTGAGAGTCTGTAACCAGGTATTACTTGTGAGAGTCTGTGGCCAGGTATCACTTGCATGAGTCTGTGGCCAGGTATCACTTGTGTGTGTCTGTAGCCAGGTATCACTTATGAGTGTCTTTGACCAGGTATCACTTATGAGTGTCTGTGGCCAGGTATCTCTTGTGAGTGTCTGTGGCGAGGTATCACTTATGAGTGTCTGTGGCCAGGTATCTCTTGTGAGTGTCTGTGGCTAGGTATCACTTTTGAGTGTCTGTGGCCAGATATCTCGTATGAGTGTCTGTGGCCAGTTATCACTTATGAGTGTCTGTGACCAGGTATCACTTGTGAGTGTCTGTGGCTAGGTATCAAATGTGAGTGTCTATGGTCAGGTATCACTTGTGTGTGTCTGTGGTCAGGTATCACTTGTGTGTGTCTGTGCTCAGGTATCACTTGTGTGTGTGTCTGTGGCAAGGTATCACTTTTGTGTGTCTGTGGCTAGGTATCATTTGTGAGTGTCTGTGGCCAGGTATCATTTGTGTGTGTTTTGTGGCCAGGTATCACTTGTTTGTGTTTGTGGCCAGGTATCACTTGTGAGAGTTTGAGGCTAGGTATCACTTGTGTGTATCTGTGGCCAGGTATCACCTGTGAGTGTCTGTGGCCAGGTTTCACTTGTTTGAGTCTGTTGCAAGGTATTACTTGATTGAGTCTGTGGAGAGATATCATTTCTGTGTGTCTTTGATCAGTTATCACTTGTGAGTGTCTGTGGCCAGGTATCACTTGTGAGTGTCTGTGCCCAGGTATCAGTTGTGGGTTTCAGTGGCCAGGTATCACATGTGTGTGTCTGTGGCCAAGTATTACTTCTGTGTGTGTCTGTTGCCAGGTATCACTTCCGTAAGACTGGACCAGGTATTACTTGTGTGAGTCTGTGGCCAGGTATTTCTTGTGTGAGTCTGTGGCCAGGTATCACTTGTGTGAGTCTGTGGCCAGGTATCACTTGTGTGAATCTGTTGTCAGTTATCACTTGCATGACTATTTAGCCAGGTATCACTTGCGTGAGTCTGTGGCCAGGTGTCACCTGAGTGATTGTCTGGCCAGGTATCACTTGCCAGAGTCTGTGCCCAGGTATCACTTGCGTGAGTCTGTGGCCAGGTATCACTTGTGTGTGTTTGTGTGCCAGGTATCACTTATGAGTGTCTCTGGCCAGGTATCACTTATGAGTGTCTGTGGTTTCAGGTATCACTTATGAGTGTCTTTGGTCAGGTATTACTTGTGTTTGTCTGTGACCGGGTATCACTTATGAGTGTCTGTGGCCAGGTATTACTTATGAGTGTGTGTAGCCAGGTGTCAATTGTTTGTACCTGTGGCCAGGTATCACTTGCGTGTGTTTGTGGCCAGATATCACGTGTGAGTGTCTGTGGCCAGGTATCACTCCTGTGAGTCTGTGGCCAGGTATCACTCCTGTGAGTCTGTTGGCAGGTATCACTTTTGAGTGTCTGTGGCCAGGAATCACTCGTGTGACTCTGTGGCCAGGTATTACTTGTGTGAGTCTGTGGCCAGGTATTACTTTTGAGTGTCTGTAGCCAGGTATTACTTTTGAGTGTCTGTAGCCAGGTATCTCGTATGAGTGTCTTCTGCCAGGTATCACTTTTGAGAGTCTGTGACCAGGTATCACTTATGAGTGTCTGTGGCCATGTATCACTTGTGTGAGTCTTTGACCAGGTATCACTTATGAGTGTCTGTGGCCTGGTATCACTTATGAGTGTCTGTGACCAGGTATCACTTGTGTGTGTGTGGTTAGTTATCACTTATTAGAATCTGTGGCCAGGTATCACTCCTGTGACTCTGTGGCCATGTATCACTTGTAAGAGTCTATGGCCATGTATCACTTGTGAGCGTCTGTGGTATGGTATCACTTGTGTGAGTCTGTGACCACGTAACACTTGCGTGAGTCTGTTACTAGGTATCACTTATGAGTGTCTGTGGCCATGTATCACTTATGAGTGTCTGTGGCCAGGTATCACGTATGAGTGTCTGTGGTCAGGTATCACTTGTGACAGTCTGTGGTCTGGTAACACTTATGAGTGTCTGTGGCCAGGTATCACTTGTAAGAGTCTGTGGCCAGGTATCACTTATGAGTGTCTGTGGCCATGTATCACTTGTGTGAGTCTTTGACCAGGTATCACTTATGAGTGTCTGTGGCCAGGTATCACGTATGAGTGTCTGTGGTCAGGTATCACTTGTGACAGTCTGTGGTCTGGTAACACTTATGAGTGTCTGTGGCCAGGTATCACTTGTAAGAGTCTGTGGCCAGGTATCACTTATGAGTGTCTGTGGCCATGTATCACTTATGAGAGTCTGTGTCCAGGTATCACTTATGAGTGTCTGTGGCCATGTATCACTTATGAGTGTCTGTGTCCAGGTATCACTTATGAGTGTCTGTGGCCATGTATCACTTATGAGTGTCTGTGGCCAGGTATCACTGGTGAGTGTCAGTGGCCATGTGTCACTTATGAGTGTCTGTGGCCTGGTATCACTTATGTGTGTCTGTGACCAGGTATCACTTGTGTGTGTGTGGCCAGTTATCACTTATGAGAGTCTGTGTCCAGGTATCACTTATGAGTGTCTGTAGCCATGTATCACTTATGAGTGTCTGTGGCCAGGTATCACTTGTGAGTGTCAGTGGCCATGTGTCACTTATGAGTGTCTGTGGACTGGTATCATTTGTGTACTTATATGAACTTGAAACAGGAACCGAAGTAATTGATGTTTTCTTCATTATATAATTCTATAAACTGTTGTTTGACATAATTACGTAATAAATGGTTCAGATGAATATTGTTAAAAAGTTAATTTACAGAAACTAATTTACTTGTGAAGAAAAAGCATCACATCTCTCCACAGAGCATATAGTAGGCTTATTTGTACATAGCAAGAAGCAGCCAATACGCCATTATTAAATACTTTTGTGGGATGTTTCCGTGGTCTGATTTTGACGGATGTCCGATATGGTGTTGTGTAGTGGTTCCCGAACTGCGGACCGTTCACATATCTCGAGAACACATTTTGCCCAGGTATATATGCAAATAGCTTGGACTACTAACCTATAGGGCAGGGGTCTGGGGCGAGTGCAGAGTATACTCACCTATAGGGCAGGGGTCTGGGGCGAGTGCAGAGTATACTCACCTAAAGGGCAGGGGTCTGGGGCGAGTGCAGAGTATACTCACCTATAGGGCAGGGGTCTGGGGCGAGTGCAGAGTATACTCACCTATAGGGCAGGGGTCCGGGGCGAGGCAGGGTACACTCACCTCTAGGGCAGGGGTCCGGGGCGAGTGCAGAGTATACTCACCTATAGGGCAGGGGTCTGGGGCGAGTGCAGAGTATACTCACCTATAGGGCAGGGGTCTGGGGCGAGGCATGCACTCACCCATAAGAGTAGGCAGGGTACACTCACTCTAGGGCAGTATACTCACCTATAGGGCAGGGGTCTGGGGTGAGGGAGAGTACACTCATCTATAGGGCAGGGGTCTGGGGTGAGGGAGAGTACACTCATCTATAGGGCAGGGGTCTAGGGTGAGGGAGAGTACACTCATCTATACGGCAGGAGTCTGGGGTGAGGGAGAGTACACTCATCTATAGGGCGTGGGTTTGGGGTGAGGGAGAGTACACTCATCTATAGGGCAGGGGTCTTGGGCGAGGCAGGGTGCACTCACCTATAGGGCAGGGGTCTAGGGTGAGGCACGGTACACTCACCTATAGGGCAGGGGTCTAGGGTGAGGCACGGTACACTCACCTATAGGGCAGGGGTCTTGGGCGAGGCAAGGTACACTCACCTATAGGGCAGGGATCCGGGGCGAGGCAAGGTACACTCACCTATAGGGCAGGGGTCTTGGGCGAGGCAAGGTACACTCACCTATAGGGCAGGGGTCTGGGGCGAGGCAAGGTACACTCACCTATAGGGTAGGGGTCTTGGGCGAGGGAGAGTACACTCACCTATAGGGCAGGGATCCGGGGCGAGGCAAGGTACACTCACCTATAGGGCAGGGGTCTGGGGCGAGGCAAGGTACACTCACCTATAGGGCAGGGGTCTTGGGCGAGGCAAGGTACACTCACCTATAGGGCAGGGGTCTGGGGCGAGGCAAGGTACACTCACCTATAGGGCAGGGGTCTGGGGCGAGGCAAGGTACACTCACCTATAGGGCAGGGGTCTTGGGCGAGGCAAGGTACACTCACCTATAGGGCAGGGGTCTGGGGCGAGGCAAGGTACACTCACCTATAGGGCAGGGGTCTGGGGCGAGGCAAGGTACACTCACCTATAGGGCAGGGGTCCGGGGCGAGGCAGGGTGACCACTCGCTCCAGGACGTGACGGTACAGGCGGTGCCACAAGACACCTCACAGGGACGCTCCAGGTCAGGTCGGCTGAGGCCGGAACACCTGAGGAAGACAACCGTCACAGGTAACACACCACTAACACGACCAGCACGACCAGTACCACCAACACGACCATCACCACCAACACGACCAGCTCCACCAACACGACCAGCACGACCAACACGACCAGCACGACCAACACGACCAACACGACCAGTACATCACATATTACACCAATAAGTTCCTTCATTATCACTGCCAAACTAACAGTCAGTACCAAAGTTAAACTAATAATACATTTGAAGACACATTTACAAATATTAATATTCTCTTTAACCAATTTCGCCATACTATGTACAGTTTAGTAATATTTTAATTTATTTGCCTGTTATGCATTATATGTTATTGTAAATTCCCTGTTTTGATTAACAATGTGCCTCAGTAGAAAGATTAAGTGTTACGTCGACTCCCAGGTCTCTTTCTCGAATCGTCACAGGTAGGCAGTTTCCCTTCATTGTGTACTGTCCCTTTGGTCATCTGTCGCCTAATCTTATTTCAATAACTTTACATATGCTCATTTCTTGTACCATCTCAGCAACCAGCTCAAGTCCTCTTGGAGGACCCAACAATCCTCATCTGTGAACTCCTATTAGTTTTGTGTAATCCGCGAACATCGACATATAAGATTCGACTCCTGTAGAAATGTTGTTCATTTATATTAGAAACTGATCAGGTCCCAGCACCGATCCTAGAGGTACTCTACACGTTACTGTTCGCCAGTCCGACTTCTCACCCAATACCGTTACTCTCTGGTTCCTGCCTCTGACTCTCCTGTTATCTATACAGTAACTACTTAAGGAGTTAAGTAACTCCTTACCCATGTTAGGGCTTTTCCACTTACTCCCACCTACCTCTCAGATTTTAATTGCAGTCCCCTGTGCGGTACTGTATCAAAGACTTTTTGGTAGTCAAGAAATATGCAGTCTGACTGTCCTTCCCTGTCTGCCTTATTCTTGTTATATTATCATTTATTAGATTCCAAAAGATTTGTTAGGCATGATTTCCTTTTCCTGAACCCATGTTGGTGTTTGTCTACATACCTAATTTTCTCTTGGTGTGCAACAAGTCTTAAACTGATTATTCTTTCAAGTACTTTGCAGGGGATGCCTGTCAGTGATACTGGTCTATAGTTAAGTGTCACTTCTCTATCTCCTATCTTGAAACTTGGTACCACATTTACCTACTTCCAGCAACTGGGCAACAACTCTCCCTTCGTAAGTGACTCATTATAAATCCTTGCCAGAGGCACGCTGAAGGCTGCGCTTTCTCTTTTAGTATCCACAGTGATACTTTGTCTGGTCCAACAGCTTTACTTGCATCCAGTGTTGTCAGCTGTTTAATTACCACCTCTGTTTTCACCTCTATATCTGGTAAGTCTCTCATCTTGGGTTGTCTCTTCTCTTAATGGGAGCTGCTCAGGCTCGGTTATGAACACTACATGGGAACTGGCATTCAGTATCTCGTAGATCACTTTCCGTATATGCCCCTTTCTGGTTTCTAGTCGTTCACGCTTTGCTGAATGACCAGTTCAGTGTTCATCAAACATAATATTCAACAACATCAGACCAGCTCTGATCCCTTACCTTATCAAAGTAAACATGAGTCTAACCATTCCCTCAACACACCTCTGTAAATATCATTATCTCTCCTTCCTTCCATGTCCTCCGTGACTGTCCGCTCAATTATCTAACTCTTACCCCCAGCTTCCCCTTCCCATCACTTCCCACCCCATATCTCCCCTCCCCCACCACACCTTACTCCATCCAAACATCCCCCTGTGCACCCCACACTCTTAGCTCCTCCATTACCTCAACCCCTTATCTTCCCCTTTGCCTTCCCTAACCCCGACATCTCACCCCTCCCACAACTCCACCCAAACCTCACCTTCCCCCAGATCCATTCCCAACTCTGCCCCGTAAGAATTCGAAATATAGCTATCACTAATAGATTTAGCATGACTGTATGTTTTGTCTGTGGGAAATTTTACCAACAATATCTAATAATCATCGAAGAAATGTATCATATCTATATCATATCTAAATCGTATCTAAATTGTATCTAAATCATAACAAAATCATGTTAGAATAGTAATAGATTCATTATACATCTTGATCCTAGATGACAATGCCACTATGATCATGTATGCCATAGGGCCCAATAGATGCCTACGTGACTTTGTGCATGATCTCTCAAGGCTCCAGAAGGTTCTAGAAGGATTTCTTAATTAAAAAACTTTTGGAACATGATTCGATTTACGGTAGGGATTATAAATCGAATCCTTAACAAGAATCAGTGGTACTATCAAGTACTACTTATAATCTTTATATCCTATATCTAATTATATAATAATCACATCTTATCTCAATCAGAAGTCTAGACAGTAAAAATAATCAATCAATATTCATTGAAAGCTACCCCTCAAGGGAGAGGGAGGAGCATCTGGGGAAGAAGAAGCGCCCACCACACCCCGCGGGCAGAGCTCATTTGGGGTCCATCTAATTACCACAAGCTACCACAGGCTACACAAGCTTCAGAAAGCTTCCTGGCAATACGTTAGTAATGAATAAATATGATATGTTAGGTTAGGCTGACCTAACCTAACCTAACCTAACCTATCCTAACCTAACATAACGTAACTTAACCAAACCAAACCTAACCTAACCTAACCGACGCTTGGATCGTCGACTTGATTTGGCGTCACCAGCTTTTTATTTTTGCCTAATTTCTTTATAAAAAGATACTTTTTCAGATTAAAATTATGTTTTTTCGTGTTGTACATTCAGCACCAACATTATAATGAGTAAATATATCATATTTATTCATTACTAACGTATTGCCAGGAAGCTTTCTGAAGCTTGTGTAGCTTGTGGTAATTAGACGGACCGCTCATTTGTTTACAACACAGTGAACAAGTGTGATGGATCCTTAGCGTACATTAATAGCTCAGGACACCTTATCTAATTATCTTTATCACCAATGAACACTCTCTAGAACTGGGGGAGTACCTGAACAATATCTACATGGAAAATTCCTAGAACATTTATATAAAATAAGAGAGAATAGTGGAGCACACAGTGACTGTCTCCACCCTCATCATTCTGCAACTACAGTTAAAGGAAAATCACGTAGCAACGCTACAAGTACTATGTACGGCAAAGCTGTTATATAAAATATCGTGCCTAAACTCGCGACAAGAGAGTTATCAAGTCTGGCTAACTGTCAGACAGGCACTCCGGCATTCAGAGAAGTATATTGAAGGTTATTTTAGTATATTAATTGGCCAATTGTATGCTTATATGACTTTAATATTTAATAATTACTCAACACAAAGCTGCTATTAGGACAATATCCAACTCTGGCCCCAGACATCACTCGGTACCCCTACTCAAATCTCTGAATATGCTAGACATTAAGTCACTGCACATTCTCTCATGTGTATTATACATATATAAAACGCTAAAGTATAATGCCAATCCTAACCTCAAAAGCTTCATAGAAGGTTGTAACAGAACCCATGAGCACTACACCAGAAATAAATACAGTTTTGATATTCCTAGAGTACGACTTAATCAAAATAGAAATACTCTACAAATCAAGGGGCCCAGAATGTGGAATGACCTTCCCAACCATGTTAAAGACTGTACCTCTCTCAACCAGTTTAAGATAAAAACGAAGCTATACCTAATAAATTCCCTGTAACCTACCTTACCCTTCTATTGTCAACCAATGTCTGTTTTTTTTAAAGACCGCTGTTTGTCGACATAATTGTATTTGTGCTGTTTTTTCAGCTATGTTTTCATTCTACTCTTTATGCTCAATTAGTATTAAGCTTGTAATTTAAGTTTTTCATGCCCGAAACGCTTTGCGTAATAGTGGCTTTAGGCATTGTATGTACTAGCTCTACCTATAAGTCAACCAATCTTTGAAAAATTTCTTGTATGTATGTACCTTACCTAAATAAACATTTATTTATTTATTTATAAGTCTGTCTGTCGGTTATAAAGTGAGGCAATGCCTCATATTTCAGTAAGATTATTAATATTACAGTGTAGCAGTTGAATCTTTATCCAAGCACTAAACTTCATGAGAGTCCATTGTGTAAGAAAAAATTCAGTCATGATAAAAAAAATAAACTCATAAGTGTCCATGGTGTGGGAAAAGATTCAGTCAGGCTGACTGTACCTCATTATATAAAGTGAACATAAATACATCTGCATATATACTTGAATATATGAATTAAGTTAACAATTGCTTGCTTAGTTATTTTTTAAGTTATCATATAAGGTCATTTAATTGAATATAATTTCTAGTACTTGGTAACAGTGCTTAGACTTCATTTAAAGTCATTTATTATAGTTTTACAATTTAAATTGTTGTTTGTAGTATAAGAATATATTGGCTGTTAATAGTTATGGTGCTAGGCTAGACTATGTACATGTTTAAATCTCTGATTTAAACAGAGCCAGTGTTCAGCATAGAACTGAATTTATTAAATCTTATCCTTGTATAAAATACAAGCTGATGTGAGATACCTGTTGGCAGGTGGACTGTGGATCTTTAATCAATCTATCAACTAATTCATTCACCCCACCTGCCCCTTACAGCCCACAATCTGTCATTAGCAAAAGAGGAGCTAGGATTTACAACCCTAGCTAGAGATTTTAGTTGAATTAATTTGCAGACAGTAATTTTTTAATTTAGTTCAGTACAAGTCACTGGTAGTCTCCTCTCATATCAATCTCGACAGGTTTTTACCACATTTTTGGTCCTTCATACCTAGATAATTATTCTTGAACCTAGATAGTCTAGAAATTAGATTATATTTCAATGGCAAATACATAAGAAACTTCTTGATTTTGCATTGGAATAATTTTTACATATCCTATCCTAACCTAGCCTAACAGCCAATATTTATCATAGCTATATATCTAAGTAAACAAATTGTTTGCAGTGGCTTAAGCCACCATATCCATTAACTAGTAAGCATTCATCGCATACTAATA